AGCGAGCTAACTAAGCTAAGCTAACACGAAAGATGACAGAATACGGAGTACTCCTTCAAGAGATTAGAGACTTTCGTCAAGAAAACAACGAAAAATTAAAAAGCATTAAAGACGACATTGCTAAAGTGAATTACCGAATGGAAGAAGCTGAAGGGAGGATCGAAAGAGCGAAGGAGAGACTTCAGAATATGGAAGATGCTATGACCGAGCTAGTGCGGTTACACGTGAGATCGACTGACAAGCTGACTGAAATGGAAAGCCGCTCAAGGAGAGAGAATATCAGGATTTATGGTGTGCCGGAAACATCGGAGCGCGATTCACAGTCAATGAGCGTTTTGTTGAAACATTGTTGCGCGAAGGCCTGAAGCTGGAGGCTGTAGAGAACATTAACATCGAACGGGCTCACCGCTCTCTGGGCCCACTACCCCCAAGCGGGGCTCCACCACGTTCTATTCTTGTGAAGTTTCTAAGCTTCAAGACCAAGGAAAAGATACTTCGCAAATCCTGGCAACAGAAAGGCTTCACCTGGAACGATAAACAAATAACGCTGGATAATGACTGACTACCCTCCTCTCATCCTAAAGAAAAGAAGGGAATATGCTGGCATTCGGAAGATTCTGAAAGAGAAGCAGATCCAGTTCCAAACTCTCTTCCCTGCAAGACTGAAGGTGAAATACGCTGATGGGACCAAAACCTATGATGCGGCAACGGAAGCTAGTGAACATATGTCCGATCGAGGTTTCCCAGTCGAAGTCATCAAATCACCGGAAACAGTCTTGGAGCACCGGAAACAGCTGACCTGGAGCCGGGTGACCAGAGGGACTGGCAGCACTGCGAATTCAAGAGGGGAGTCAAGCTACAAAGAAAAGCTGAGGGCCTTTAGGAGAACGGCTGCTGGTCCCTCTGCTGACTGAGGTTACATTTCTGATTACGGTCTGACGAGTTCTGTGTTCTTGGTGTTATTATCTCTTCCAATAGTAACAAATATTTAAACTGGTGCGAAACAAGTTAAGTAATCAGAGTTATGGCTCTTCGGGTTTTATCTCATCATGGCTCAAGCCCCAGCTGAAAAGGGTCCCCCATTGCCAAACTGATGAGGACGTTGCCTTTAGAGGCTCAACAGGGTCTGTTCCAAAGACCTCCACCTTGGAAGTTCACAACACCCAATTTAATTTATGTTTCTTCTCAAATGTTAAGTTCCTTTTTTGTGATGAGTTCAGCGTTTATTGTGAGGAGCTGGAAATCTATAAAAGAAACAATCAGAATTAAAACACTATGCATGACAAATACACAAAACTTGTAACAATCAATATTAATGGCTTACATAATCATGTTAAGAGGTGGAAGGCACTATCCAAACTAAAAAAAGATAAAGTAGAAATAGCCTTTTTGCAAGAAACACATCTCCCAGATAATGAACATTTAAAATTGAATAAGATGGGTTTTAAACATGTGTTCTACTCTTCTCATAGCTCGGGTCGAAGGAGGGGAGTTGCGACCTTGTTGTCTGGAGCACTGAATTACGAGCACATTTCAGAGTATAAAGACAAAGAAGGTAGATACGTTATGATAACAGGAAAGATTGAAGGTACTCTCATAACATTATTGAATGTGTACATCCCCCCTGGCAGCGACTGGCCCATTTATAAACATATTCTTGAATTAATAACGACAAAAAGTCAAGGAACCCTGATTTGCGGAGGAGATTTTAATATAATATTAAACAACGTACTTGATTCCTCAAATGGGAAAGGTGATATCAAGAAGTTAGGGGAAAAAAATGACACATCTTATGCAAGAAATGGGTGTGGTTGATGTCTGGAGGGAAAATAACCCAACAAAAAGAGAATACACTCACATCCTCATAATGTATACTCCCGTTTGGACTACATTTTTATGTTTAAAAATGACCTATTTAGATTGAAAACCAGTGATATTGGATCCTGTACAATATCTGACCACAACCCAGTTGCAATAACTATTAACCTTGCAAAGAAGAAAAAATCTACCCTTTGGAGATTAAATACCAACATTTTAAACTACCCAAATATAAAGGAAAATTTAAAAGATGCGATTAAAGAGTTCTTGACACATAATGATAATGATGAGGTGTCTCCAGGTATTCTTTGGGACACGTTCAAAGCAGTTATAAGGGGAAAAATAATTAGTGTTTCCTCTTATCAGAAAAAAAAAATCAACAAAGACTTGCATATTTAGAAGAGAAACTACAAAAACTTCAAAAAGAACATTTTAAAAATATGAACAAAGACATCAAATGTGAAATCGCAAAGTTGAAAAGAGAAATAGATGATATCAATACACTGACTATTCAGAAAAAACTTGTTTTTATGAAACAGCGGTACTATGAAGTAGGGGGACAATCCTTGAAACTTCTCTCATATAAACTGAGAAAACAACGAACAGAGAGAACAATACATAAAATAAAGAACCCCTTAAATGATAAAATTGAAACAGAACAGGGAAAAATTCAACAATGTTT